CGTAGTCGTTCCGCTTCACTTGCAGGCAGAATGGGGAGGTAAAGGTCAGGTCTTCCACCTTGACAGTGTAGATGTCCACCTCCTTTATGAGGCAGGCATTGGTGACCAGCTGCTTTGGGTCCACCACGTCCACCAGGGGCTCCTTGATGGCCACATCCTTGATGCAGGACATGTCGAAGCCATACACATTCTCCCACCAGTGGATCTTGTAATCTTTGTACTGCCGGTCCTCAATGGCTGTCACATACAACGTGGCCCGGTCAGGGAAGATGAGGCCGTCGGGTGCCAGCCACTTGTCGCGGGCGTAGAGCACAGTGTTGAGCATGGACTCGTAGAAGAGACAGTAACCCATCCACTCGCTGATGATGATGTCCACCTTTTCCACTGGCAGCTCCACCTCCTCCACCTTCCCCTTGATGATGGTCACCACGTGGTCTAACTTGTTGGCTTTGACGATCTTCATGGCATAATCAGAGATACTGGAACACTCGATCCCGATGACCTTTCGGGCTCCTGCCTTGGCAGCGAACATGCAGAGGATCCCCGTGCCCGAGCCCACATCCAGCACCACTTTGTCCTTAAAGAGGTGCCGGTTGTGGAACATGGAGTTGCGGTACGTGAGGGTCCGCACTTCATCCTTCAGCATCTCCTTGTGGATGCCGAAGTGGGCATAGGAGTCAAAGTAGTAGTCTTTGGACATCATGTCCTCTGCATTGGGCTTCTCACTGGTTTCCGCAGGGCCACAGGAAACCTCCATGATGCAGTTCGCGGCCTCAGCTGCCGCCATCTTCACCAGCAACTACTCCTCCTCCGGCCGCTGAGACCCCCCCCCTTCCATAGCTAATTTTTTTATGTATATGTTTCAATGATTTTTTTCTTTACAATAAGTTTTGGACAATTTCATTTTTGTGTATCTTGGTATGATTTTATTTAAATGTCTTTGCAAAAGTTTCATTTTTCTTGGAATTGTGGTATTATAAATTGAACTAAATTCAGAAATTTTAAATCTTTAAATATTTATTGCTTACTCCTTTCTACTTTGAGAATTCTAGTTATATGAATATAAGTTTCTTGGTTTTGACACAGTGAACTATTATGACTGATCTGTAAATTCTTCATTTTATTTCGGACAACTTTTATTGTTATATGCATTTATGTTTGTAAATAATTTATTTTCAATTTGCAATCTATTAAAAAATTTAAAAAGGGAATACAAAAAAAAAGACCCTCATCCCTCACAGAGACACCTGATGACTGAAAGACCCCTGAAAGTATCCTTCTGTTCCAGGTGAGGGTAGGTGGGTAATTGGTTGTCATATCACCTGTCCAAGCCTCAATATCTTCATCTCTAAAATGGGTTTAAGAACCCATGCCTACATTATAGGCATGTCCACTTAGCAAGCAGAAAAAATTTTTTTTAAATTTAGAGTGTGGGCTCCTTAATGTGGTAGCAGGAACAACCTGATACACAGTGAGGGCTTAGCAGTGACAGCCATGCTGTTAGGAGTGTGACACTGTGTAGCTAGCTCGAAGAACCCTTGTCTTGGGTGACAGGGTCCTTTTCTGGCACCCAGGAGCATATTTCTGCCTGCTGTGCTCCACCTAGAGTGAGCAAATAGGTGGATTGAGGGTGATGCCAGGGCACACCTGTACATAACTCTTCTTGGCTTACCTCTGTCATCTTTGGAACAGGTAGCAGGGAAGCCCTCTCCAAGGGCTTCGACCTTGCTCAGAAGTTAGATCCAAAGCCTGCACAAGGGTTTGCTCCAGCCAGCAACAGGGAAGTGTGGTGCACCATGGGGGTGGGGTGCCCTCCAGGAGGGGAGCTTGCCCAGCATGACCCACCTGTCTGCTTGGGACAGTGACTTAAAATGACACACTGGCAACTCCTGGAGCTGGCGAAACACCATGGCCCCTGGATCCTTTGCTGGCGGCTCCCTGGTTAGCACACAAGTGGCCCTGGGGCCGAGGGGAGCTCACACTCTAGACGAAATTCAGACTGCAGCACAGCCACTGCACAGGACTTTTGGGGGACACAGTCTCTTTTTATTTACTTTTTTATAATTGAATTCATTGCCAACATTTTTAAAGATGTAGACAACATATTTTAAAATATCTTGAAAAATCAGATCTGGCAACATTGGACCCACCTCCCCTGTGACAGGAACTGCCTGAGAGTGATTAGGCCAGGGTTTATCTGCCTGGCCTCTGTTGGCATCTGACCTGACTCCCCTGGCCTGGTGGGTAACATGGACACAGGCCCCAGTACCCATGGTGGAGTGCAGTGAATAGCTTAGGACAGCTTGATCACTCCAGGGGGCACTGGCCATGTTGGACAACATGTTTTAGTTGTCATACCTTGAGGAGGTGCTCTTGGCCTCTGGTGGGTGGAGGTCAGGGATACTGCTCAGCATCCTACAGTGCACATAGGACTTCCCTCTAACAGATTATCCTGGCCCAAGTGAATAGGGCAGAGGGTAAGAAACTCTGGCTTAGGTCATTACCAAACTGATCTGGAAGGCAGCAATTAATTCCAGCTGTGGAGCTCCAGACCTGCTCCCTGGAGAGAAGCAGTCATACTGGCCGCCAGACACTTGAGGGCTGAGCCAGCTTTCAATTAAGAGACCTACAGAAGGTGTGCCAGGCAAAGGATAGCATGAGCAAAGATCCAGGGGCGCCTGGTGGGGGCCACAGGGTGCGCAGGGAGATGGAGCCTGTGATTCAAGAAATGTGAAGTTTGGGGCCAGGTGGAGTTGGTTTGGAGTTCTGGTTTTACCACTTAATAGCCATGAGGTGTCAGACTTCTCTTGGGCCTAAACCTCAGTAAAAATGGGGATAAAAATGAGTTTATACAGGCATAGCCCAATCTATCCCCACCCCTCCATTTCTATGTCCTGGCCATTCTGAAATAAGGGCTGCTTACCAAATGCTGCCAGCTCTCTCTGGGAGCCCTCTGCACGAAGTTCTTTGCACCTGGAATGACCACTGTGGTGTGTGAATCACACAAGCGGTTATAAGCCCAGCGCCATGATTCCGAGAGCCCACCTTGCTGCATGGTGGTGCAGAGCGGTGCGTAAGAAGCACGTTCGGAGGGCAAGAAAAGAGTGGCGAGTCCTGGAGCCTCTGCTGCATCCCAGCTCCCTTTCCCTTCACTCTGTGGGCCTTCAGTGCCAAGGGTGACCTCTGAGCATGACAGGAACTACATGGCCAGCTTGAAAGACTAAAAAGGAAACAAAACAAAACATACAGAGAGCCAGAAATGGTTGTGCACACCTAGAATCCCAGCATTTTGAAAGGCTGAGACAGAAGGATTACAAATTGGACTTCTAGACCAGTTCTCAAAAACACAAGACAGGGCTGGAGATGTAGCTCAATGTGAGGGCCCTGGGTTCAATGCCCAGGTCCACAATAAATAAATTATATATATGTTTTGGAGACAGGGTCTCACATGTAGTATAGGCTGGCCTTGAATTGGCGGTGATCTTCCTGCCTCAGCCATCATGCTTGGTTCAGCTATCTTTGAGTACTTTTTATGCTAATTTTTTTATTCTAGATTTTTAAACTACCATACAATAATTGTACATACTTTCAAGAAACAATCTGATGTTCTGATATGTGGGTTCTTTGTCCCACGATCAAATCATGGCAGTCAGCATATCCAGCACTTCATACAATTGTCTTTTCCTCTTTCAGTTCTTCACTCACAGTATGCATGGACTCATTCCTCTCAGTATTTTAAAAGTATTTACTAACTTCAGGGTGCTGCGCTGCAAGACTGAGATAATCACATCCTCTAGGTGATTTGCGTGCACGGCAAATTATGAGATACGTTGAAAGCGGAAAATATTTACTCTCTTCACTTCACTTTAGTTCTCTCCTTCCAGTCACTCCTAACTTGGGGGAGTTTATTTACTTTTATGTACGCATGCGCACTTCTAGGGGCGTAGAAATGGTGGCTTAAAGTCCCGCCTCCCAACTCAAGCCATTGGTCATCTCCATCAGCACGTTTTTGATTGGTGGCCGCCGCCAAGCCCCGCTGCCTATCAAAGTTGGCGGGAAAGCGGCTGCGCTTTGGAATGGCTGCAGCTACTGACTCCTCCACCCGCAGCGGCCCGCCTGCTGTGCGGCTGCCGCGGTTGCCACCGCTCAAGGTGCTGGCGGAGCACTTGCGACGCGACGTGGAAGGCGCCCCGGGCTCATGGCGGCTATCGCGAGCGGCAGCCGGCCGTAAACCACTGGACTTGGCGGTCGTATGGATGCAGGGAACCATGGTGGCGGCGGGCGGCGGCGAGGCACGGCTGCGGGACCCGAGCGGGACCTTCTCGGTGTGCGGCCTGGAGCGGGTGCCGCGCGGGCGGCCCTGCCTGGTCCCAGGTAACTCCCGGCCGCTTCCCGCTCGCGGAGGCGAGCAGGGACCCAGCCGAGGGGTTGTCACGCCCGGGCGGCTGGGCCTGCCCATGACTTTAGGCCTTTCCACCACAGGTGACCCCACGCAATCCACAATGGCCGTTGGCGTCACCCACAGACCGGCCTCACTCTTGCCCCTCTGCTAAGCGGGAGGCTTCAAGGGTGTTTCCACCCTGGAAACGGGGTGCTGCCCCGGGCTCAGCGTGAGCCGCGCGGCCCTCGGCTGTGGCGCTGACAGCGCCGCCAATCCTGCATCGGGGCCAGAGCCTGCCGCACAAGCCTCCAAGAGCCGGGCAGCGGGCACCAGCATCTCATCGTCCTCATTCCCTGGCCCCGTGTGAGACACCTGCGCTGCAGGCAGCACCCAGAGAGATAAGGCCTTCTAGGAGGACACCCCGGGAGGGTGGCTGACCCCTGTGCAGACGGGCCACCTCGTGTGCCGGTCGCTGAAGGGTGCTGCTGTGGGTGCGAGGACTCAGCTTAGAAAGCTGAAGAGTCCACAGGGCCTTTATGCTTCCCTTCCCTTGACTTGAACTGAAGTCAAGGTCACTTTATCCCGCCGGCCCTTTCTATTCAGAGTCTTCTAACTACAGGCAGGATAGGTCAGACAGACTTAAGTTTAATTCCTGGCCCCTCACCTCCCCTACTGGTGCCCTCTGGTTCACTTTCTAACCTCTGTGGGTGTGTGCTCCCTCCACAAGAAGGAGCATCAATTCCTGCCCGTTTACAAGGCTTCTCACCAGCGTCACCAGGCTTCAGACACGTGTGACTGTGTTTACAGTCCCCTCCTCTCATCATGGCCACCCTTGTCCTTGGCTGCAGCTCATTCCAGCACAGGATCAGCAATTGACAAGCTGAGGCCTCTTTTCACTCAGCCCGCAAACTAAAAACAGTTTTCATCTCTAAATGACTGAAAAAAGTAATGACATGAGAAGTCTATAAAATTCAAACGTTCATGCCCATAAGTGAAGTCTTATTGAAACATTCATAATATACATACATTATAACTACAGAATTGAGTAGTTAAGCAGAGTCCCTATGCCTTACAAAGCATAGACTTTATAGAAAAAGTTGGCCTTAGTTTTGTCCTCAGACATAATCCATGCTGCTTGGTGTCTCAGCGCCTGGGTAGAGTCCCTTCAAGGTAGGCTTGCGCAGTCCCTCAAGTTGTCTCCCAGCTCTGACGTAAGCCTGGTGCCTAGTAGATACTTTAGTGTTTGGTCACATGGATCCACATGCCCACAGGTAGGGGGCATGTCATATCTCTTGCTAGTTAGTGCCAAGTGTGTTTTATAAACCTAAGTCCTTTCTTCAGGCATGGAATGAACCAGGGAAGTAAGCAGGTCACTGTGACACAAAGACTGTTGTAGGCATGAGCCCAGGGCACTGTGGAAGGACGACTTTTTTTTTTTTCTTTTTTAGGGGTGTTTATGTTGTCACCACATAGAGTCAGGAGAGTGGCAGTTTCAGGGTATATGGAAAGCTTTGGAAAGTCCCACACCACTAAAGTGCATGGTGACTTAGCCACTGCTCACTTCCCAGGCTTCTCAGGCCTGTAGCTGCAGAGCAAGGGAGGGTTGCTTTTGTCCTCATGTACCTCTTTTGGTCTGGCTGGTGTACACTTGGGGGCAGAAAGTGACACAGAGGAGGAACAACTGGTCTGGCTGAGCAGTTAGGTAATGGCTTCCTGGAGAGGACAGCCCTGTTGGTATTATCTGTAGTGACAGCCTCTTCTGGGTCGCACAGAACTGAGAGCACCCTGGGATACAGAATTTCCACTGTTAGAATTGGAACAGTCAGTCACCCTATGTCTGTCTGTGTACAGTGACAGGGGACCCAACCAGTTTCATGTTCCTCCCAACAAGAAGGTTCTGTGGAATCTTAGAGGTAGGGAGTGGCGGTGCACCACTGGGGCCACAGGAAAAAGCAAGTGGGAGGTCCCACCCTGGTGAGCCCTTGTGCTGTTGTACTGGTAGTAGAAGGCCCTGCCTGCCGCAGGGTGACCTTGGTGCTCAAATTGTTGGTGTTCTCTCTCTGGAGCACCTAGCAGTTTCTCTTTAGAGCGGTTGAGTGTTGCAGGTGCAGTCTGGTCAGAAGTTCCCCTGCCCTCCAGCTGCCCTGGTCTGTAGACTGAACCGAAGAACAGTGTCCACTGAGACTGCACAAGGTGGCAAGGTTCTAGTAGGAGCTGCCCCAGGAGCAAGCGTTGCAGGGGCCAGGCAGAGATGGATGGGGAGAAGCAGCAGCTGGAAGGGAGACTACTGGTGCCACTCGCATGGCCAAGACAAGAGAGGAAGGAGGCTTTGGGAAGGGAGCTGCCTCATGACAGGAGTGGGTATGGTGGGATGAATGGGATTAGTTACCATTTATGAGCCTGTTGCCTCTACCTAGCTGTGTGACTTCCAGCAGGTCTCCTGTTCGCCTTTTCTGGACGTGTGTGTGTGTGTGTGTGTGTGTGTGTGTGTGTGTGTTACTGGGGAACCTGTAACACACACATTGAACCCTGGGCCTTCACACTGAGCTACTTCCTCGGCCTTTTTTATCTTTTACTTTAAAACAGGGCCTTGCTAAACCACTTAATTGGTCAGGATGGGCTCCAACCAGCAATTCTCCTGCCTCAGCCTCCCAGTCCCTTTGTTCCTGAGAGTTCCGTCTCTGTTAGCACTTTAGGGCCATCAACAGTATGGCAAGCATGTTTTTAGAACTACTGTATCCTCTGTCCTGAGGAACTGGAGCGAAATCTGGAGGTGGTCTTAGAAAGCCCTAAGTGCATCCTGCCTGGGGTGGAACACCTGAGGGTCAGGGGCAGCTTGCCTGGCTTCCCTCGGGCAAAGTTGGAGCTCACTCAGCCCTGACTTGGAAGTGGGGCGTGCAGAGGCTGGCAGCCTGCCCATCCCTCTTGCTGTGTTTTGGAAATTTTTTTTTTTTTTTTTTTTTACACAATTGCATTTTGTGTGGTTTGAGACTGGCCAAGTTTTGCTTTCAAGGAGAGTCACTTCCCCAGTGGAGTGGGAAGAGGATCATGGTCAATAGCTATTGGATCACCCTTGTGGAAGCCTGATCTTTTGTTGATTTCCTTGTGTGTGTTCAGTGGCGCCTGGGTATAAACGGAGGTGGCAAGGATTGGTCCTGACTGACAGGAACAGTGTAGCACTGTGTGGCAATGTGTTTTGATGCCTGTCCAACTTTTTTGGCAATATTGAGGGAAAACTGGATTTGCTTTCAGCTGACTAGGCGTGGCTTGGCCGAAAAAAAACCTGTCCTGTGCACAGCAACCAATCAGACACTCTGTGGCGTTGAGCAAAGAAAGGAACTAGAGAAACATTTGGAGTTTCTGCCCCTGCTTGGAGTAATCTATCTAATTAAAACTCACTCTGATGTGGGGTTGTCTCCATTCCTTGAGCGTGATAACATTGTGCAAGAGTTCTGTTTAACACATTAAAACCTGAAATCAAAGAAGATACAGATGCCATTTTCCATATTAAATATTAAGCTCATTCATATATGTGTATATTTTATCACTGTCTGCCTTTGTTGAGATATCTACTATCCAAATTTTAATTCAGTCATCTAATTTATTTTTTGTGGCATGAAAGGTTGAACCCAGGGCCTCTGCTATCTCAGACAAGTGCTCTTGAACTGCACCTCCAGCCCTGGAAATCTTTTGGGTCTCTGACTTCCCTCTCTGATCAGGTTCAGCTCTGATGAAGAGGGCCATTTTGTTCCTGTGAATGTGACCACGGGCTTTTCTCCTTTTCCTAGGAAAATACGTGATGGTGATGGGAGTGGTGCAGGCTTGTAACCCGGAGCCCTGTCTTCAGGCTGTGAAGATGACAGATCTTTCTGATAATCCCATCCACGAAAGCATGTGGGAACTGGAAGTAGAAGATTTACACAGGAACATTCCTTAGATGACACTGGAACCGTCCATCCTTAAAAACAACCTTCACTCTGAAATGATCTCAGTTCTGACTGTGTGGATTTCAGGGACATCACTCATGCATATTTTATTGGCATTGTATATTTCTCAAAAGCTCCAAGAGGACTGCTTCTGGATACAGGCACTTTTAAGTGCTAGGAGGCTTCAGTTAACTCAGCCTCCTCTGCCTTTTGCTTTGACTGTGTTTGCTGATGAAAAGCAGATGCTGTGTGGCTTTTTCTTTCCATTTGTGCGTGTTAATTTCTGTCTCTAAAACACACACAAGTCTCATGTTACATTTTCCAGATTTTACAAATGATGATTCTTTTTCCATTATGGCTTCATACAATTCAAAACTTGAATCTCAGTCATTGTCCGTGGTGATTAAAGTGTAGCTATGAGCAGGAAAGCAGACTGGGTGAAAGGGAAGGACGTCAGGGCTCCTGTCCCTCCATAGACAACTTCCTATTCAGTTTGCAAGTTAAATGGCTTAGGGCAGACCCAAGTGACCCCATACCTCTGTGTGTGTGTGTCCGTCTGCAGGATTGACTGAGCCAGAGCTATATCCTCAGCCTTTGAGACAAGATCTCTAAGTCACTAGATTGGCCAGAGGACTGTGCCAGGTACATTCTTTCTGCTTCAGGTACCACGCAAACGTTTAGCATCCATTTCGTTTAGATATCATTCTTCATGGGAGAGGAAAGGCAATTTGAGATGTGTTCAGAATTTCTCTTTGAAATTGAAAAACCAAGATTAAGAACAACTTTCATTGCCAGGGAGATGGCTCGGTAGAAAAAGCGCTTGCCTGGCAAGCGCAAGGGTCTGAGTTCAATCCCCAGTTCCGCAAAAAAAAGAAAAGAAAGAAAGAACAACTTTCATTGTTTTACCTAAGCTTCTGTTTATAACTTTGTCAAAATATAGCAAGGGAGCAGTCTCCTGGTTTAGAGTTTTTACAGCTTTTTTGTATAGGCTCGTACCATCATGACTCAGTCGCTGGCTCAGCATGCCTGAGGGTGGGGCCAGCACAGCATATGGTGCCAGGGTTCCTGATTTTTTTTTGTATTTAGTACAAGGTCTCACTACCCAGATCAGACTCAGTGATCCTCCTGTTTTTCAGCCTCCCAAGTGCTGAGATCATTGTCACAGGCCACCTCGCCCAGTCTCAATTGCTGTCTCAGCATGCCCCACAGGGGTGGGGCTGGCAAGGCAGACAGGAGATCCAAGCCATCCCAGCCTCTCCTAAGCAGGCACTTTAATGTGCTGACCTATCTGTCCGGTCCCCTGCTTCTTTATTACTCGTGCTGTATTTGTCTTTAGATCATAACTACCAAGGAAGTCACTTTATATTCCAGTATTGCAATAAAGTTTTGCCTTGATGATTGATATTGTGCCGCTAATTTCTTTTATCACTAATAAAACTTTAGTGCTTTTTTTAAAAAAAAATAAAGTTTATTTTTAAAACTAGTTTTGGCTTTGTATTGTACACCATACTCTCATCTTCCTTCCCAGCTCGACATATTATTAGTGTTACACATTTGTGACCACTGATGGCCATTTGATGACACTGTTACATGGATATGTTCTTATCAGCCAGAGTTCACACCAGGATTCTTGTGTGTCACATTCTGTGGGTTTTACAAGTGCGTAATGACATGGATCAATCTCATAAAAATCGTCTGTGAGCCCCCCCCATCCATCACTCCCCAGCCACTGATCTATTTCCTGCTTTGCCTTTGCAGAGATTCATACAGCGTATAGTTTTTACAGCCTAGCTGTTTTTACTTAGCATGCAGTTGAAGTTCCTCCATATCTTTTTGTAGCACGATAGCTCTTTTTTTTTTTTTTCCTGTCACCAATGATGAGGTCCCATTATATGTAGATACATAGTTTGTTCACCCAGCCCTCCTATTGAAGGGCATCTTGGTTGATTCTACTCTGAGAAGCATGAAGGGAGCTATTGCACAGTTATGTGTGGCAGAAGTTTTCTCCTTGTCAAGGTAAGTGCCTAGGAGCATCAGTGCTGCTTTGTGGGGCAAGTCTGCAGTTCTTGCTCTAAAAAAGCACCAGTCATCCAAAGACTGGGTGTGTTCCACGTTGCCACCAGCAATATGTGAGTTTGTCTTCATGTGCATTTGTTAATGTTTCAGGGTTTTTTGTGTGTATTTTTCAGACTATCAATGTCTTCTTTTAAATGGGCAAATTGGAGAGTGCATTGTTTTTATTATGATTTGAGCTTGTTGACTGCTGGAAGATTTTTTTAAAAAATATTTGGTACAGGATCTCACTATGTGGTTTGGAGTCATAGTGATCCTCCTGTTTCAGTTTTCCCAATGCTGGGATTACAGGCGTACGCCACTACGCATGGTCTTAGTGGCCAGCTTGGCTCTGCCAGGGCAAGGCCAGCGATGCACGCCTGCAGGGATTGAACCAGGTTCCTTGCACCTGCCTAGGCAGGTGCTTAGACCACTGAGCTATATCCACAGCTCAGGAAGCTTGTTTTGAGCTGCTTTATGTCACAGCATGGAGCTTTTCAAGCAGTGTTGCTGCACTTTATTGCAAGCTTTGGAGCCCTATTGATCTGAATTTAAGCCCTTCATCTGTACCAAATTTGCTGTGTGGCCATGAACAAGTTATCTAACCTCTTTGTCTCTTTGTTCTTCACTTCATTATTTGTAAAATATGTTATACCCAGCTCATAGCGCTGGTATAAGGAATAAGGATGTGTACAGATTAGTTTTATATGGTGCTTGGTATATTGTAGGCACAAAATTATTGTTGCAATAAGTTCTTGCTTGCATCTATCATTGCCCTGGAGTTTGTGTGTGTGTGTGTGTGTGTGTGTGTGTGTGTGTGTGTGTGTAATATTTAGATTAACAGAAAAATTGTAGATAATGCAGAGTTTCTATATTTTTGTATCTACCTTCCCTGGCCATTAATCTTACATTACCATAGTGCATTTGTGCCAGTTAATGAATATGAATATGGAGGCCTTACTAACTCAAATTGATAATTTATTCAGATTTGTTTAGTTCTTTTTTCTAATGTCCATTGTTGTTCCAGGATCCTGTGCAGAACACCGTGTTCTGTTCAGTTGTCATGTCTCCTTAGGCTGTCCCTGATGGGCACAGTTGATGAGTTGCTTTTGATTGCATTGAAAGGTATTGTTGGGCCAGGGAGATAGCTCAATGGAATAAGCACTTGTCTGGCAAGTGCAGGGGCCTGAGTTCAATCACAGGTTCTGGAAAAAAAAAGTATTTTTCTTTTTTTTTTTTTTTTTTTTTTTGGCAGAACCAGGGATTGAACTCAGACCCTTGTGCTTGCCAGGGAAGCGCTTATTCCACTGAGCCATCTCCCCAGCCCTGAAAGGTATTGTTTTTGTGGTGCTGGGGATGGATGCTGGGGCCTTACACCAACTAGACAAGTGCTGACACTGAGCTGTACCTAAAGCCCCAACATGAAGCTTGGTGCAGATCACTAGATCTCTGTTAAAGGGTGCTTAGGACAAAATTCTGTCATGAAACTTGTTTGCTGAACCCTAGAGTGGTGTGTGGCATACTTCCAAGGACCTTGCCCCCCTCACCTGAAACCCACTTTTCTTTGTACTGGAAAGCGGACCCCAGCTACCAAGAACATGCAGACTGTATCCTGCCCAACATGTCCTCTCCTGATGTCTAGAAAATACCTCTTTGAAAAATTATGGCTGGGTTACCATTGTTGCCAGGCAGTAAGTACATCAGGAATATGCAGGGTGGGCTTATGAGGGTGCTGTGTGTCCTATCTGAGAGCCCCCCAAAGGGCCCCTGCCCTCTGCTGGAAGTACACCACCTCAGCTTGTGGTTTGCTTCCCTGAACATGAAGAACTCTCACTCTTTTATCTCCTGTTTCCTCCCTGACATCACCAAATGAAGATGCATCCGAAGGCTCTGAGTTGCTGGTACCAAATCAAAGTCATCAAGCTGCTGCCAGACAGCAAATGACTGAGTGACCAGCTCAGGAGCTGGGGCAGTGCAGCTTCCCTTTTGAAATTAGCTCTTTTCTAAGAACTGAAAATAAGCAACCTAGGCGTGACTTCACTTTTCTTGGAACTGCTTTACATTACAAAAAGAAAAAACCCAAAACCCTCATTTAGCTGGTTTTGATTGCCTGAGTTCCCCAATTGTTCCTGTTGCATGTTCTTGTAAAGCTGAAGATTTACTGCAAAATTCTTCAGCCTCAGGTGAGGCAGGGAGGCAATGAGTGTGTGAAATAATTGTGTCTCGTGGCTTATTTGTGTATGATTGCATAAGTTAGGACAAAAAAACATGGAAGAGCTGCTCTACCATAGAATTATCTTCAGATTTCAAGGGCCACAGCCCTGAGGGCCACCAAATGGGTTAAGGCTGGTATTGCTGTACCTCAGCCATGGTTGCCGTTGTTATGGTCCAGTTACTGAGAAAAAAACAAAACAAAACAAAGTTACTGAGAAGCATTTTGCAAATGGAAGGGGCCAAAAGATGGGTGAAGGGTAGAAGGCAGGGAGGAAAAAGGGAAGAAAAAAAAATTAAATGCAATACATACATGTCCCTGGTCCCCATGATGAATGGAATCACTACACAGCAAACATGCACTAATAGAAAACATTTAGGAACATTGAGAAGCAGCCTGTTATAAGGAAAGGGCAGGAGATGCACAGTGACCTATTTAGCAGATATTTTGGAGCCTGTGCAAAAAAACATCATCAGAGGGCCCCAACTTGCTCAGAGTAAGGGAGACAGCAGTAGTGTCATACCTGCAGTCCAGGGCTTAGCCACCCTTTCCTATCTGACCTTAGGTTGGAGGTCAGTCCATAAAGTGGAAAGAATTCTTCCTCCACAGTATGGTTGCCAGTAGGTTCTTGGGACCTAAATTAGTTGTCCTTTCTGGTAGGCATCTCTGTAAACTGGCATGTGAGTTCTGAAATAGCCCATCTCTCCCTATGACATGACTGTGTCTTCTCTTGGTATCTCTGTCCAGCATAGGTTTCTCCTGGCAGGCAGGCAATGTGTGGGAGACAGAGGAAATAGGAAAGCACGATGCTCTTGGCTTTACTCTTGGCTCACAACAATTTCCAAATGAAAGGAGCCTCTTGAAAAGAAAAAAAGGAAATGAGCTCATCATAGGCCTTTGGGATCAAGCACTCTGTAGTTTACATGGGGCCTGTGAGTGCCCTGAGGTACTGAAAGAATACTTGGAAAAGGGGCTGGGGATACAGTTCAGCGGCATAAGCACCTGCCTGGCAAGCGCAAAGTCCTGAGTTCAATCCCCCTAACAGCCAAAAAAAAAAAAAAAAAAAAGAATATTTGGAAAGACCTACAAGGATGGAGGAAAAGGACTGAGACAACCGAAAGAGGATGTAAGTGGTTCAGGAAGAATCTGAAATGATAGCTCCATGAGAATCACTGAACAATCACAGTCTTGTTGATAAGGGATGCAAATGTAACAGAGTTTTGTGCCAGGGGCTATGCTGGGAACTTCCACCACATGACTACATTTCATTTCCTTTATCTGGAAGATGTGTTTTCCCCTCTTATAGTCATGAAATCCTCAACCGTGGAGATAAAGTCCTTTGTCCCGGGGGATCTAGCCAGCAAGCCAC